CACTTACCAACCAGGCATCCGTCGTTGTTAGAGATATATTTAGGATATACATGTATTTTGTAGTCTAGAATTTGTAATCTGTCTCTTACCTTATCTTCAGAAGAGTCTTCTTACCCTCTAAGTCTTGTACTCAATATATACTCCCCTCGAGGCTCAATAATACATGCATCATATTCCGCCGAGCACTCTCTCTCCATTCTAAAATGGTATCAGCCTAACCGATCCAAACCCTAGCCGTTGCCCGTCGCTTCCACCCCACGCGTCGTCCCCGGCGCGGTCGGCCACCATGACCGCTGCCCGTCGCTTTCACCCCACACGCCGCCCCTGGGGCGGTCGGCCGCCATGAACACCGCCGGAGGCCACGCCGCCCGTACCTAAGGTTCATCCGTCAGTCGTGTTGACCGGCTGCCCTAAAGAGTCTTTTTCCCGAGCCCTTGCTCTGGGTTTTCTCTCTCCCGCCGGTCATCTTGATCGATGTTTTCATTTTGGTTTCCGATTTAAGATCGGGTTGCGTCGCCTGCCGCCGTTGTCGACCCCCGCACGCCTCTACTTCGACCCCAGCCTGACCGGCCGGCCTCCCCTCCGACCCGGCGGCCACGCGCGCCGAGGTGGCCCGTCAGGGCCAGCCGCCGTCCGCGCGTCTGCCCGCACGCTGCCCTGCGCCGGCCGTCATCGACCTACTCCGACCGGGACTCCTACATCGCCCCGGCACAGCGGCCTCGCGCCATGCAGCGGCCCATCACAGCCGCCCCGAGCGTGCCGGCCTGCTTGTCGATCTATGCCACGCCTGTAAGGCCATCCTGTCGGCCGTCGTTGTCGGCTTCATCTTGGAGTACGCCGCCACCCCGCCTCCACCGAGTAGCGTCCTCGACCTCACGCGCAATCGGCTTAATCACCCGCTCGTCACCGCACTCTGCCTCATGTACACCGTGCGACCGACCTGGCCTGTCAGTTGCACGCGCCTCCGCAGGTCCTGTGAAGATCGCCCTCGAGTTCAGGCACCCCTCCACCGATCGAGCAATGGGATGCCACTGTGTCGTCTCGTTGGGCCACAGCGCCACCGCCCCGTGGTTCTTCTCCCGGCTGCACCGACCCGCGTCACTGCTACGTCGCCCCGTCGGGCCGTAGAGAGCGTGGTACGCAGTCCACGCCGCTGTCCCGAGGCCATCCCCGCAGTTGCACCAACCCGCACTCCTCCGCTGCGTCACCCCTTCAGATCGTAGTGTCGCGGCCCGCGGTCCCCGCCGCTTCTCGGAGGTCTTACTGCCACAGCCCCTACCCGCCTGATGTCGTTGCGTCGCCCCTTAGAGCAGTAGCGCCATGGCCCATGGTCCACTGTCATCTCTGTGCATCGACTTCCCGTGGTATGTGTCGCGCCGCCTCCCTTGGCACAGGAACGCCACCGTCCACGCTAGTCTTCGCCATGCTGTCGGGTTCCTCGCCTACTTCGAGCATCGCCGCCACGCTCCTAACCTAGCCATCACCGCTCTTCTTCGGGCGCCGCCGCCACACCCGTAGCCACCGCCGCGGCCCTTCCACCTTCTTTGTCTTCGTCGAGCACCAGCAAGTCGCCAGCGCCGCCGTCATCTTCCCCGACCACCATTGGTGACATTTGCTCCACGTTGATTGGCGCCACAGCCATCCCAAGTCTCCTTCTCTGCTGGCCCCTCTGACTCCTCGACATGGCGCACAACTCGTGCAGGTCCATCATCTACGCATGCCCGGTGTTGGCAACACCGATGCGTGCCTTCGTCCACGACGTGTCCCTGGGCCTGGCAAGCCTGGTGAGGTGCTTCGTCAACTTCGTCTTCGTCCGTCTAGGTATGCCCGGTGCTGGCAACACCGACGCGTGCCTTCGTCTATGATGTGTACCCGGGTTTGGCAAACCCGGCGCGATGCCTCGTCACACCGTCCTCTACCCGGCGCACACTACTTCGACACCACTGCGCACACTACTAGGAAAATGCTTATAGGTAGACATTTAGCAGTAGCGTTGGTTAGATACCCATCGCTACTGCTATTTAGCAGTAGCGCCGGCCAGCACAAGTGCTACAAGTGCACGTTAGCAGTAGCGCTGGATTTCACAGCCAACGCTACTGCTAATGGGCCACGCTCTCGGGCCCCCGTTGCAGCTTTAGCTATAGCGCTGGGCCGCCTACCCCGCGTTGCCGCTAAGCCCACCTCTCTGCTTCCCCCTGCACCGGCCCGCGCACCACCCCTCCCCTCACTCACACTCACACGCTCACACCAGATTGAATCCCAGTCGTCCCCCGATCCGTCCGCCGCCACCGCGTCCTACTCCGACCGC